CTATCTATCTATCTATCTATCTATCTATCTATCTATCTATCTATCTAGCCAGGTAGGTATCATCTGTACCAAATGGTCTTAAAGTAACTTTTTTGAGTAAGTGATAGAAAAAGGAAGAAATGGGTGCTATTAAAATGTGTAAAAAGTAACTTTTATTTTTTAATAGACTATAAAAATAAAACTAACAAACATATTGCGTCAGAAAGAGGAATTGATGAGAGAATAAAGAAAAAGAAAAACAATAGGCATGCAGAAAAACAACTATAGAAAGAAGCAGAAGCATAAACAGAAAGTGACTTTTAACTTCTTTTACAAATGATATACTGTACACACCAATAAGCAATAAGCAACACAGAAAATTATGTTTATTTATTGTATTCATTAATTCAATATTATATAACTGCTACCTTAACAAGGGGGATCTCAGATATGACCAGAAGAGTATGTATTGTTTATCTTTTCTAATGACTTACTTTTAAATATTACTTTAAGAACTCTTATCTTAAATTAGGATATTTTCCACATTGTTTCAATGCAACCTCTATAACCGTGATGGCAAACCTATGGCATGCATGCCACAAGTGGCACGCAGAACCATTGGTGCCAGCACGTGAGCCGCAGGCAAACTTACCTCACTGCGCATGCGCACGCCTCACAGCTGATTTTTCTGCTGGTTTCAGGCCTTTTTTGGCCTGCAAGGCTTTTCAGGTTAAATAGGCCTGTTTTGTCACTTCCTGTAATACCGGAAGGGACGAAACGGGCATATTATTCGGCCTGAAAAGACTTGCAGAGGCTTTTTCCAAGCCTCTGAGAGGCCGAAAAAGGACTCAAACTAGCCGAAAAATCAGCTGTGAGGTGCAGTGCAGATAACGGGGTGACGGGGATTGCATGCGCATGTGCAGGGGGCGTGAGGGGGCGCATTGCATTCTGGGTACTGGCATGTGAGTGCTGGCACGTGACTGTGCAGGCGCTGATGTGCGTGCAATTTTTCACACAGGAGCCCAAAAAGGTTAGCCATCACTGTTCTATAGAGTCTTGCTGGATAATCTTGTTACAATGCTGTCCTTTCCTCATCTTTGCAATATCTCCCTATGAGGAGATAGAGAGAAATATTTCAGATATTTCTTGTCTCCAATATTGTGGAGACAAGTTATCTGGCCAAAACAGTACAGAGGTAAAGCCTGAGAAGGCTGTAGCATTTCTCCTATTTGTATTCCATTCTGATAAACATAGATATAGTAACAGGTGTCTTGATATTTTAAATATTTTAAACATTTATGATCAAATGTTTTATCAACTTGAAATTCAAATCAAGGGAAACCTGAAATTCAAATCAAGGG